GGTTTTTTTTTTTTTTTTTTTTTTTTTTTTTTTCAAGTGGAAGTCTGTGGACTTTAATTCCCTCAGGGGGCACTTCCAGCCAAGGTGGACACAGGTGGGACAATGCAGTAGTGCATTTACTTACTTACGGGAGAGCATGGAAGCATGATGTGAACGAGGAGGCTTGCGCACCGAGTGAGTCTGGTTGGGTTCCAGGTCAGTTATGTATGCACCCTCTGAGGTCTGTGAATAACCCTTCTTCCTCCTGCCCGGAGGACCTTGCTAGCCTTTGCCAGGCTGTGAAAACTGGCAAGGCAAGTGAGACAGACTAAGCATTTGTTTTCTGGTAAGTCAGGCCCCTGTCCGGCCTGCACCTTTGGCCTCGTTTGGATAAAGGTTTCCAGCACAGGATGCAGCGTGAGGGGGTGGCATCTAAACTTTCTCTAGGTGTTGGTTTAAGGTAGAGTTACCTTACATTTTGGGTAGCACTTTTGAGTTTCCAAAACTGGCTCTCATATATTCAGTATCTCACTGGATTGCCTCAGGTTGGAAGGAGGGTTCCCCTTTCACAGTGAAAAATTTCCAAAGCTCAGAGTCCTAAGCAAGTTGGCTAGTTTTGCAGGAGTGGAAAAATAGAGAACCAGGACCTCTACTCGGTGGAAGACTTTCTGTGCCCATGCAGACTTTGTAATGTCTCCCTGCTAACCTCTAGAAGCTTGCTGGGTAATGGGACTGTTATCCATCTCTTTGTAGAAAAAAGCCAGTGAATGAGGGGCAGGGGTGAGGTAGCTAGGTTTTCCTCTGTGTCTTCCAAGGTTGTAACATTTGGAAGTCACCGCCTTCCACCTCTGCTGCCAGTGTTCCCAAGCGGAACATAGTAGAGGTGACAAACATTCAGCTGTTAGGTTAGTGCCACAAACATTTTCCTCCAGGGCTGGAGAGATTGCTCTGTAGTTAGGAGCACTTTTTGTTCTTGCACAGGACCGGAGTTCAGTTCCCAGCACCCACGTGGTGGTTAGTTATTAGTCCCAGTCAGGTATATACAAGTATCCAGTGACAGCCTTAGGTACAGTGACAGCTGCCCCTGAAGGAGAGAATGGAGCAAATCTGAGCCATCCCTGTCCATTTTCCTCCAGGACTTGCTTGAAACACAAGTGCTTTCGTGGCATGTTTTCAGTCTCATTTTCAGAAAGCAGCTTATCTGTGCTGTGCCTGGGAATGTTCAAATGCCTCCCTCTTAAACATCTGTTTAGACACTTATTCAGATCAAGGGCCAAGCAAGGTATGTGATGCTACTGTTTAAACAGGAGCAGCAAGCTTTAGCTAGTTTTTAATGTCTTCCTTCAGAATATGAGTTAATTGCTTCCCATATGTGCAAACATTTTGAGGCTGAGAACTGAGAACTCTATCCTGATGAGACAAATGAGATGTTGCATTACAGAAGCCACACTAACCATGGTCTCTGAAGCCTTACAGCATTGAGTTGTCAAAGCAACAAACAGAAGCTGCGCAGGGAAGCATTTTGCTTGTCATTCTTATTCCATCTTTAGTATCAGTCAAGGTCACGAGTTGTATGAAAAATATATAATTTAATTTTCAAATAATAACTTTCTCTTGTTCCTAAAATACATCATCAAAAGAATCTGAAGCTAATATATTTTGTAGCAGACAGAGAACACAAGGTTCTGCTATGAAGGCAGAGTTGTTACCCTTGTATAAAAGTCCACATTGTCCCAGAGTAGAGAAGAAGGAGAAAGTGAGAGCAAGCATACACGAAATCAGCAAAATGTTACAGGAGAATCGATCCCACTTTGGAGAATTTGACGACATCAGTGATATGTGGCTAGGCAACCTATACTGTCTGTCTCCCACAATTGTCCCCTGGGTAAAGGTGGGCTCACTCAGCTTAACAGAAGTGACCCTCAGTCCAGCAATGAAGGAGGGGCAAACGACAAGTTGTAGGCCGACGTATTCCAGATTCCCAGCCATCATGAGGGAGAGGCTTCCAAGGCGTCCTCTCACAGACATACTGGAAAATGTTTCACTTTTCTGGAGTTTATCTTTCCTCCCCACCAAGGGACCAGTGAAATTCACTTGGAATAGGCCACAGGACAGTTTTCCACTCTTCTGTCCACAATTTGAGTTTACCTTAGAAATTCAAATGCAGGTCAGAAGAAGTCACTTCATAGGTGGACAGTGACCAGCCACTCAGCAGAAACATCTTAGGTTTTGCTTGTATAGCATTGTGAAACATACTTTAATAAATACAGTTACGCCTCGTTTACCTACCCCACCCCAATCCCTGGCATGGCCAAGATATTCCAGAATACACTTGGGTATCATTCCATGGTCATGGACTCTGAAGGTTCCAGAGCACTGGCTGAGCAGGGACTGTGTAGTCAGTCTTTGGTGGCTGCTGTCATGGACCAGCGAGTCCTTCCGGGTAGTAGGGCCTCAGTCACTCTGGGCAAAGGTGGCTTTTTTCAGCTGCCCTGTGACAACTGGGTTTCACATTTCCTGAAACTGGATCTGTGGAAGGAGTCCCTGAAATTAAGGAGAGAGAGAGATCACAGAAGGATTAATTAGCCTTTAAAAATGGGGGGGAGTGTTATGAACCAGAAAGATGTTGGTCCTGGGGAATTTAGTAAATAAAAAGAGGGATCCATTCACAATGTACACACACAGACACAGACACACAGACACACAGACACACAGACACACACACACAGA